CTAGGCGTGGCCAGTTTTAAGAATTTGAGTTCCAAAACCCCACTGACGAAGTCAACATCCAAAAAGCCTCTATGTTTTAAAAATTATGCCTGTAAGCTTTTTTTGTACCCTTTAACACAAAAAATTGTGTACTTTTTTAGCCCTAAGATGCCCTTACCCTCAACCTCATCTCTCCTCTTTCTCCCAAGAACCATGAATCATGTTTCCTCCCTTCTTTAATCATTATATCTTCTCCCATCACCTCTGCCACTCCTTTCTCTATCACTATTATTTTGTCATCACAACTTCTCCTTCATTGTTTCTCCTACTCCTCCTCATTCCTCAACCACCACTGCATTCCTCTAAAACGGTATCCGTTAGACAACAATGTCATATTCCAAATTCACGCTGAAGTTAGCATGTAATAGATAAAGCTAACACTTAAACGACTAAAGTTAATGACTAAAGTTAATGACTAAAGTTAATATTTAACAGCTAAAATTAATGAATAAAGTTGACACGCAACTTAAGAATTAAATTTATTCATTAAGTGTTAACTTTGTTCATTAAAGTTATTTGTTAATTTTAGTCATTGAGTGTAATAACTTTAGCCTCTAAGTGTAAAATGCGGGCACGAGTTTGGGAGATGACATTTTTGGCCAAAGGAGACATCGTTGGAAGGATGCGGGTGTGGTGGAGGCAGGAGAAGGGGGGACAAATGGTTGAGAAAAGAGGAGAAACGGCGGAAGACAAGTTGTTGTTGACATAATGGCGGAAGTGATGGTACAAGAGATAATGGTTGAGGAGATGGATAAGGAGACATAATTCACGAATTCATGAGGAAGAGAAGAGGGATGAATGGTTGAGGTTGGGGGTGTATTAGGGATTGCCAAAAAATATACATGGTTTTTCGTATCAAAAGTTACAAAAGAACTTAGAACCAAGAGTTTCAAAAAGTAAGGATTTTTTGGCTATTGACTTGATCAAAGGGGCTTTGAAGCTCAAATTCTTATAGTAGACTTTTCTTTTATTTTTTTGCTGCTATTTTCTCGTTATTTCTATGAAAAGTGAAGCACCACCCAATCATTTCTTTTATAAATAAGCATTGGATTTAATGTTGTAATGATATTATAGCGGAGCAAGGATCAGAGTCTAAGATGCCTATGATGATAGCTACAACCATCTAACAAAGTTTAATACAACTTAAAAACTAATTAATTATCTCTTAAATACCTTATAGTTTTCCCAACTTTGAACTTATACCCTCACTTGATTTTGGTAGTAATTTATATGCGGTGAAATTTTTAAAATTGCCATTTTGGTACTTTCTGTTATTATGCAAACATGACAATATTCTCTTGAATGTTCCATGTGGCATTCATATGCTAATTTTAGAACTTCTTGACCCCTAATGTTTGTTGAATTTACTGTTAAACCTACCCAAGTTCTTTTTAAGACATCTCCCAATTTTATTTCAAAATAGAATTGAGATGGGTTTAGCAGCAAAACATTCACATCAACAAACATTAAGGATTAAAAAGTTTTAAAACTAGCATATGTATATCATATGAGAATAGTCGGAGGAATATTCTCTCGTTTATATATAGAAGGTACCAACATGCCAAATTTTAAAAACTTGAAAGCATATAACCGCTGCCAAAAACAAATGAAGGTATATAAGTATGATAAACTACAAGATAGTCAAGTGTTAATTAGCCTAACTTAAACCCATTGCTTTCATTTTATTATGAGGTTTGAGGATAGTAATGATTATTGAATACTTGCATCACACAAAACCAGAAAAGATGACTACCCGGTACTTGATGACTCTAACAAAAAGTAGCGTTTAATTTTTGCTCTAAATCTTTTGTTAAGTTTCCCAATTAAACATTTTAACTTATACCACTCAACAGAAAACTATAAAGGCTCAATAACTACAAAGTAGAATTACATGGAATCAGTGCATTTCTGGTAAAAATTTTACAAACAAATTCTTTGATATCTCTGAAGTCAAAGGGTTCTATTTGAGATTGTTTGAGAAGTTGAGACTGGCATCAACCGCATGAAAAATCATATTTCATGTGTTAATTTCAAATTTATAAACATAAATGTTTTTGAACAGTTTTCAGTTCGCGATTTGGATAAAGTTGGAGGCAAGGGAAGATCTATATGTGGCTCAACCTTTTGCTTGGAATTATTATTTGGGCCTACAAACCCCGTTGAATATTAATCAGCATATATTGTTTCTCTTTTGCTTGTCCTGCAGCTCAAAATGCAGAAGTTTTGTATAGTGAGATTATGGGAAATTCTTTTTACAAGGATTGGATTAACTTTTAGTGTATACATACATTGATGGCTCTAGTTGCAAGATGAATATACATTGCCGTGGATATACTGAAAACTAATATTTTGTTTGTAATTGTAAGATGCATATACATCATTCTGGATTTATTAATAAGTAATATTTTGTTTCTAATGGCAAGATGCATGTACATAGTAGCGGATTTTTTTTTTGTATTCGATAGAAAATTGTTGTGGGTTAATTAATAAATCAATTAGTGACAGACTCCCAAAATTGCTTGAGACAACAATTTCTTGGTCAATCCATGATCCCCCAAAAATAAAAAATGATACAGGCACACCCTGAGACACACCGCCAACCACACCCTCTCTCTATCTACAGTGCAGGGGGTCCTACATCAGATTTTTTTTTTTTTAATCTGATGTGAGGCCCCCTGCACTGTAGATAGAGAGGGGGTGTGATTGGTGGTGTGCCTGAGGGTGTACCTGTAGCGCCTCCCCAAAAATAGTGCCCAAAAGAGCGATGTGTGAATCCTAATCTATAATATCCTCTTTCATTTTACGTGGGTACATACGAAGAAAGGTTTCTCATACGCCCACAGAACAAGAATCAACTGAGAATCAAGATTAGAAAAAAAAATACTTTTTTAACACGAGAAGTTTCTTACGCAACTAGAAACATGATAGGTTTTCATTTGTTGAAAGATGGAAATGTGAATTCGGGTGGGGTCTACCACGTGAATGAGACGCGTGAGGATTGTGCAAAGATGGAAGTGAGGCCCACCCGAATTAGTTTGTGCACCTATATAATGTGTCTCTAGGGTTTTGGGAAACGTGTGCCAAGGAGGTTGATCGCTGGTGCTTTTTGCGGCTGGGAAAAAGCAAAGAAGCGGCTAAAAAAAAAAAAAAACCGCAGAAGCATGAGGTGTTTTCAGCAGCCGTCAAGAGAGTTCTGAGCATCTTTTGTAGAGAGAGTTTGTGTGAGAGGTTTGAGAGTTTTGTGTGAGGGTTTTATTTGTGGGATTCTTGTGTAAACCCTATTTGTATTCTCTCCCTCTAATAGTAGATCTCCCCCCTCCTTGTCCCGTGGACGTAGGCAATTTGCCGAACCACGTTAAAATTGGTTGTACTGCTTTTGTGTGATTTGTAATAGCTTTTAGGGTCCCTCGACGCGCAGTCCTAGAGCTGACGAGAAGAAAACTTCACCGAGGTGGAGAATTGTGAATTCGGGTGGGGTCTACCACGTGAATGAGACGCGTGAGGATTGTGCAAAGATGGAAGTGAGGCCCACCCGAATTAGTTTGTGCACCTATATAATGTGTCTCTAGGGTTTTGGGAAACGTGTGCCAAGGAGGTTGATCGCTGGTGCTTTTTGCGGCTGGGAAAAAGCAAAGAAGCGGCTAAAAAAAAAACCGCAGAAGCATGAGGTGTTTTCAGCAGCCGTCAAGAGAGTTCTGAGCATCTTTTGTAGAGAGAGTTTGTGTGAGAGGTTTGAGAGTTTTGTGTGAGGGTTTTATTTGTGGGATTCTTGTGTAAACCCTATTTGTATTCTCTCCCTCTAATAGTAGATCTCCCCCCTCCTTGTCCCGTGGACGTAGGCAATTTGCCGAACCACGTTAAAATTGGTTGTACTGCTTTTGTGTGATTTGTAATAGCTTTTAGGGTCCCTCGACGCGCAGTCCTAGAGCTGACGAGAGGAAGAGCTAATATCCTACTTTGATAGGATATAGGCTTCAGATTCTTGTTTCCTTTGAGAAACAAGAATTCTTATTGCGACCTGACTCTCTTGTTGTGCTGCCGAAGTGCTGCCGAAATTTCCGCTGCGCGCAACAAGTGGTATCAGAGCCCAGATTTCAGATCTAGGGTTTTGGAGTTTGGTGGAGGAAGATTTTTTGTGTGAAGCTTGGTTCTTGGAGTTCTCGGCTTCGGTGGAGATAGCATTAGGAGTTGCCGTTGGAGATTTCGCTTTCCTCGTGTGGATAGGAGATCTATTTGGAATCCGATCTAGGGTTCAGTTGGGTGGTTCCTAATTCTATCAAATTTGTTCTTTCTCTACAATTTGGAGTTAGTTCGCAATGGGAGAAGAAGGTGAAAGCAGCAAATCGATGGTGGGTACGATACAAGTTGGTTTTCAGAACACCAAAATAAGTGTGGTGAAATATGACGGAAAAATCAACTTTGGTTTGTGGATGAGCGACGTACAGGATGCGTTAAATGCTCAGAATTTGGAAGAGACCATCATGGTCCACGAGAGGCCACCTAAATATGATGAGGTGCTATGGGAGAAGATGAATAGGAACGCTTGTGGGGTGATCAGGTCCTGTTTGGAACAGGAGTTGAAGTATGATGTGATTGGGGTGACGTCTGCGATGAAGATGTGGGAAATTCTCAACAATAAGTACCTTACGAAGAGTGTTGAGAACCGGTTGAACTTGCTGAGTAGGTTATTCAGATTCCAGATGTCCAGAGGCACCTCGCTTGCGGCTCATGTGAACAACTACACTAAGTTGTTGTCAGACTTGGCGAATGTTGATGAGAAGATATCGGATGAGTACAAGGCGATTATTTTGTTGGGCTCCTTACCGGATGAGGAGTATGATACCTTCGTGCTCACTTTGTTGAACGGGAGATCTTCTATCAGCTATAGTGAAGTGACTAACGCTTTGACGAACTACGATTTGAGGAGGAAGGATAAGGAGACTTCCCGCGCTAGTACTTCAGGAGAGGCCTTGTCGACAAGAGGTAGAAGCCCATATCCGAAAGGTGGTAACAGAGGGAGGTCAAAGTCTAGAGGCCGCCACCAATTAACAAAGAACCAATGTGCATTCTGCAAGGAGCAGGGACATTGGAAGAGAGACTGCCCGAAGCTCAAGGAGAAGGAGAATGGCAAGAAAAAGGGCCCGAAGGCCAATGAGGTGAACATTGCGAAAGGCGATGATTCCGATGATTCGTGCTTTTCTCTACTGATTACTCCGGAGGTGAACCATGTGGATGCATCAGATTGGATGCTTGATTCCGGCGCTACCTTTCATGTGACCCCTAGGCGAGACTGGTTTGCATCTTTTGAGAAAGTCGACGGGGGCGTTGTTGTCATGGGAAATGATCAATCCTGTGGCGTTTGTGGGATAGGTACCGTACGGATTAGGATGCACGATGGAGTAGTCCGTGAGTTGAAGGAGGTGAGATTTGTTCCTCAACTGAAGAAAAATCTTATCTCAGTTGGAGCTTTGGAGGCGAAGGGATTCAAGGTGACTTTCGAAAACGCTGTAGCGAAGGTTACTAAGGGATCATTGGTGGTGATGAGGGGAGTCCGCAATCGGAATTTGTATTATCTGAAGGGAAGCACCGAGATTGGCCAGGTTGCTTCGGCTATTTCAGAAGCGGACATGAGCAGACTTTGGCACTATAGATTGGGGCACACAGGTGAAAAGTCACTGCAGACATTGTGCAAGCAGGGGCTATTGAAGGGAGCCAAGAGTGGGAAGATTGAGTTCTGTGAGCACTGTGTTCTTGGCAAGAAGACGAAGGTGAAGTTCGGGACTGTCATTCATCAGACGAGGGGCATTCTGGACTACGTGCACACAGACGTTTGGGGTCCCACCAAGACTGCATCACTTGGTGGTCGACATTGGTTCGTCACTTTTGTAGATGACTATTCTAGGCGTTGTTGGGTGTACACCATGACGAAGAAGAGTGAAGTCCTAGATTTGTTTGTGGAGTGGAAGAAGAGATTGGAACTGCAGACTGGGAGAAAGATCAAGACGTTGCGATCCGACAACGGTGGTGAGTATACTTCTGACCCCTTTCAGCAGCTATGTCGAGACGAGGGCATAGAGAGACACTTCACAGTTAGTCATACACCGCAGCAAAATGGGGTGGCAGAGAGGTTGAATCGGTCTTTACTGGAGAAGATCCGATGCTTATTGTCGCAGAGTGGTTTGGAGAAGATCTTTTGGGCTGAGGCACTTACATATGCGAGCCACCTCATTAATAGGCTGCCTTCATCTGCGATTGAGGGGAAAACCCCTATGGAGATGTGGTCGGGAAAGCCAGCACATGACTATGACCAGCTCAAGGTATTCGGGTGCCCTGCATATTATCATGTTAGAACTGATAAATTGGAACCTCGAGCTAGGAAGGCCATATTTGTAGGATTCAAGCGTGGTGTCAAGGGATACAAGCTTTGGGATCCAGTTGATAAAAAGATTGTTCTGAGTAGGGACGTCACATTTGATGAGGCTTCTATCTTGAAGCTTCCCAGCTCTCATCAGGTGGAGAGCGACCCGACGGAGGAGATATCGCAGGTGGTGGAGATCGATGCAGCTCCACATTGTCCAGATGGTACAGTATCCATGCAGGTGCCGACTGAGGTGACGCCAGGCGAGCACGACGGTGACACGGAGGATACGAGTACAAATGTGCAGGATCAGGAACCGACGGCTCAGGTTCAAGATCCTATTGCGGTTCGGAGACAGAGGAGAAACATACAGATGCCAGCACGGTATGCCGACACAGTTGCGTATGCACTTCCGGTGGAGAGTATCGATGAGTTGGTACCTACTACTTTCAGAGAGGCCGAGCAGAGTTCGGAGGCTGATTCGTGGCAGGTGGCTATGCAGGAGGAGATGGAATCTCTTCATAAGAACGATACATGGGAGCTTGTTGAGCTTCCAAAGGGACGGAAGGCAATTGGTTGCAAGTGGGTATACACGAAGAAGGAGGGCATTGAGGGCACTCCATTGAGGTTCAAAGCTAGGTTGGTTGCGAAGGGCTATGCACAGGAGGAAGGTATTGACTATAATGAGGTTTTCTCTCCGGTGGTGAAGCATTCTTCGATTCGGATTCTGCTAGCTTTGGTGGCACAGTATGGTTTGGAGTTAGATCAGTTGGATGTGAAGACGGCATTTCTTCATGGTGATCTTGATGAAGAAATATATATGACTCAGCCATTGGGATTTCGAGATGCAGGGAAGGAAAAATTAGTTTGCAGATTGAAGAAATCGCTATACGGTTTTAAACAGTCTCCTTGACAGTGGTATAGGCGATTCGATGGTTTTATGCTTGGTCATTCATACACTCGGAGCCAGTTTGATCCTTGCGTATATTTTCGCAAGTTGAAAGGAGGTGCGTACATTTATTTG